TGGCGGATTAGCTCTACAGCAGATTTCCGGTAAGAACAACTGGTACCCTCTCAAATAATATGGGTACCATATAGTTGTTACGGTACCTTCAAAGATCCAGGAGTTTCAGTATATTCTCCTATGCAAACTCTTAAAAAAATACTAATTTAATTATAAAATGAATAATCTAAATTATATTTATAAAATAAAAAGTAGGACAAAATTATAGAGATTAAAATTATAGGATTCCAATAATGTTATAAAACATTAAAAAAGAAAAGAATTAATAAATAATAGAAATAAAAAACAATTATAATAAAGAAATTCAAAAATTTAAGGTAAAAAGACATTTAAATATATAATAATATTATTATAAATAAATTAGAATATATAAAATAAAAATAAAATAACTAAATAATTTAAAAATTAAAAAAATAAAATATCATAAATATTATTTAAATAAATTATTAAAAATATAAAATATAAAAACTGTACCTTCTCAAAGATGATACCACAAAATTTCTCTCTCTCTATATATATCCTCCTCATAACATTCACAAAATGATTACTCCGTTACAGATGTTGCTTGTGGATTTTTCATTTCCAGATTTAGCAATTAAGAGTGCAAAAAGAAAAAGTCAATTTAATTCTTTCAAACATGAAACAGAAAATATTCGCCAAATCAAGAGAGAGAATGAGATTATGCACTATTAACATTGATGAAAAAAAAGTAAGAAAATGATAATGACAGTAATGCCACAAACTTATATGTAAATAACTTCATTGTCGGTGATACAAATCTAACTTCTTCAGAGTTATCATGAAATAGCCATTGCTTCACTTGAGTCTGAGGAGGCCACTTCATGATCCCTATTTATTGAGTGGCAGAGGACCACTTTTATGAAACAAATTTTCTTACCAAGACTAGCAGTAATTTCTCCCAAAACCATGAATTCCAGGAAGCTAATTTATGCACTTGGGTTTTTCAATCTCTGTGTGGCATGTACATTCATTCAAGTATCATCTGAAAATGCTTCTAACTTGAGCAAGTGTTGGTTCCCAGCAATTTACAACTTTGGGGACTCAAATTCAGACACAGGAGCTGTTTCTGCAGCATTCACAGGAGTGAAGCCTCCAAATGGCATAAGCTACTTTGGAAGCCTCTCAGGAAGGGCTTCTGATGGCCGTCTCATCATAGATTTTATGAGTACGCAAACGAACCATAGTCTACACTTTCCTTCACATATTCACAACCATAGATAATGCATTTACATGTTTGAGCTTTTTGTTTTGTACATAATATATCAATTATATAGGTACCCTTTACTCATCTTTAGTGAGATCATTCTGATTTCTTTCCCTATTGGTTACTAATC